ACAACTAAGAATATACAACTATGTACCTGGGGGCTTTGGGGAGAAAAAGGAAAAAAATAAAATCTTAAAAAAAAAAACAAAAACCCAGCACAAATGTTCAGCAACAGCAACAAACAAGGGAAGTGGCACAGCCCAAGACCATAAATCTGGAATAGGGTGAAATTCACTGTCTTAGGCTTCTCAGACAACTCCTGCCCCTTGGAACCTGATTTTTGAGAATTCTTACTAATAACTCTAAGTCTGGAGAGAAGCGGATTAAATGTGTATTCTTATCTTCTCACTCTTTTGAATAAGAAAAAAATGAGTGAAACAGAGAAAGATTGTTTTGGTTTTTTTGTGTGAGGAAGATTGGCCCTGAGCTAACATGTGTTGCCAATCTTCCTCTTTTTGCTTGAGGAAGATTGTCACTGAGCTAACATCTATGCCAGTCTTCCTCTACTTTTTGTGGGATGCCACCACAATGTGGCTTGACGAGTGGTGCTAGGTCCACGCCCAGGGTCTGAACCTGGGAACCCAGCTGCTGAAGTGGAGTGCACGGGCTTAACCACTACGCCACTGGGCTGGCCCCAGTTGTTTTTTTTTTTTTTTAAAAAAAGAACTGACTGTCTCTGACAGAAAAGAAAGCTCTAGAGATACAACTTTAATCAGGGAATACAAGGTATCGTTTCATGTGACTGCATTACTGCACCCTCCGACTAGGTAGATGTGCATATAAAAAAACCTCAGAATTAAGAGCCTGGATGTTCCAAAGAAACACAACAGGTTAATCTTACGAATATAAACAAGCATTCTAAAAAGAATATTAGCAAAAATGATAACATTCATATAGAAATGAATAAATTGGATTTATTTCAGGAATGTCAGACTGGGTTCAACCTTAAAATAATTTAAAGGAAAAAAATCGTATGATTATCTCAGTAGATGTAGCATACCACCTAAGCCGAGCAAACAATCTTTGATGTGAATGAAAGGGAGTGAAAAAGTCACTCGTGTTAAAACAGAGAAAATAAAAGGTCTGAGCAAAGTTGCAAGATAACATAAAACCATGATAACTACACAAACAGACCATAGCAAACAACTAACAAAGACAAAGAAGAAAATAACAGCGTGTAGAAGATGAAGAACCCATAAACTACAGGACAGAAGGAAATATCTCACATGTATTTCAAATGGTAGCACTTAATAAAATAAAATGAAAGCTCAAAGACAAGATTATGATAGGACAAAATAAGATAAAAGGTAAATTGCAGACCTAAGGAAACAAATTGAGGACTAAAACAGTGTGATTACAGAACAAATAAGTAAATTAGAAATAAGGAACAGAATAGAGATGGTTAAGTTACATAACAGAAAAGCTTCAGATAATCAGATTAAGTGCAGACGAAAAAGAGTAAAGTCAGAAGAGCTAACTAGTAGATACGGAGCTACAAGTCTCTGTAGCATAATGACAGTTATTATGCCCTTGAAGTGGAGCACTCAAGAGAGCAGAAAAAGTATTCAGAGATAGGATAAAATAAAATTTACCTGAAGTGAAGAATTGAATCTAGAGATAGTAAATGCCCTGCTACAAGGGGAAAAAAACAGAATAAGATGTGATACTATATTCTCAACTTTCAAAGCAGGAAGTCAGTCAGTGCTATTTAAAATTGAAAAAAGAAAAACCTTAATTTCTCCAGCATAATGTTTTTCTTGATGTCTTTTCTTAGCCTTAGAGGGTTCTTTTCAAAAATTTTTGTTTTATTTTTTTAAAAATCTCTTGGGGCCAGCCCCAGTGGCCTAGTGGATAGGTTCCGTGCACTCTGCTTTAGTGGCCCGGGGTTGAGTTTCCTGGTGCAGACCTACACTGCTCTGTTAATGGCTATGCTCTGCTGGCGGCCCACATACTAAAAAAATAGAGGAAGGTTGGCATGGATGTTAGCTCAGGGTGAATCTTCCTCACCAAAAAAATAAATAAATAAAATTCTCTTTTGGTCAAGAAACATTTGGCATATTCTTCAGGTTAACTTATTTCCTTATTCTAATAAAGTTATAATTTAATGCTTTCATTTTAAAAATAGTATTATATTTTTGTAAAGGTATTACTATTGCACTATATACACAGAAGGAAAAGTAGGGAGGTAGGTAGTAAGCTAGATGTCTGGAATGATGTTAACCTAGTAGTAATGATAGTTTCTGGCTCGTGGGATTTGAGAAAGAAATCAGTCAGAGTCTGGTCAGGAGACAGAAACCATTACCAGTTATTTTTAACAGAATTTAATATAAAGTATTGTTAACAGATGTTAAACTGAAGTGGGAAAATAGGATACCAGAGTTTTCACGGAAGTGTCCACTGTGGGAAGCATCTACCATTCCTAAGGCTGTGGGTCAAAGGAAAGAGGTTGGAATTATTAAAATATGTAAACTCACAGGAGGGGCCTGTGAGTCTCAGATCTCTGAGAAGGGGGTGCTACTCAGACTGGTAATAATGCCTCTGGGCTTAGAGGAGGGGCCTCGAGAGCTGGGACTCAGACCCCTGGTGCTGACGTCTGTGAGAAGGATCCAGCAGGGCTGTTTGGGATAATAAGTGAGGTTAAAAAATGATGTTGTTTTGTTCTAGATGACTAGCCAGAACAGGGAATATCTTTCCACTTATAAGTCTTCCTCTGTCTCTCTCAATAGGGCTTTTAAAATATTTTTGTTCCATCTTGTGCATTTCTTGAATTTCTTGCTAGCTATTTTATTTTAGTTTTGTTCTGTAAATGAAAACTCTTCTTCTACTTTATCTTTTAACTGGTCGTAGCTTGTATATAAGAAAACTTTTGATGTTTAAGTATTAATTTAACATCCAGAATCCTTACTGAATTTTGTTATTGTGTATCATAGTTTTTCACCTCCACAGTATTTAAACTTCTCTAAATGGCTCTTACAGAAATCTGCTTCACATTTTATTATGGAGGGACTATCTCCAACACACTGATTTCTCTTTATTGCCAAGTACTGTACTTTTCCCAAACTAGTATTGATCATTGATCATTACTGGTCTCCCTGCTGCTACCCCTGTCCTATCACCAGTTTATTGTCAACACAACTACTAATGTAATCTTTTAAAAACATAATTCATGTCACTTTCCTACTCAAAACCTTTAAATGATCATCCACTGTTCTTCAAATAAAATCCAAATTCCTTAACATAAATTCCAAGGCTCTGTGTCTTGGTCTGCTTGGGCTGCTATAGCAAAATGCTTAAACAACAGAAATTTTTCTCACAGTCTGGAGGCTGGGAAGTCCAAGATTAAGGTCCCGGCCAATTCAGTTCCTGGTGAGGGCTCCCTTCCTGGCTTTCAGATGCCCGCCTTCTTGCCATGTCCTCACATGGACTTTCCTCCCTGTGTGCACATGGGGAGAGAGAGCAATCACTCTCTCTCTCTTTTCTTAGAAGGCCGCTAATCCCATCATAAGGACCCCCACCCTCAGGACCTACTGGAGCCTTAATTACCTCTCAAAGGCTGCATCTCCAAATACCACAAATACCATCACATTGAGGGTTAGGGCTTTAACATGTGAATTGGTGGGGGGTGGGGGGATGCTTCGGGTGGGCACAGAAACATTCAATCCATAACACACTTGGCCCCTGGCCGAGTTGTTAAGTTTGTGCGCTCTGCTTCAGCAGCCCAGGGTTCGGATCCTGGGCACAGACATGGCACTGCTCTTTAGGCCATGTTGAGGCGGCATCCCACATGCCACAACTAGAGGGACCGACGACTAGAATATACAACTACGTACTGGGGGGATTTGGGGAGAAAAAAGCAGGGGACAAAAAAGAACATTGGCATAACACTAAAATGATCTGGTCCCTGCCTATCTCCAGTCTCTTCCGAAGGCACTCTCCAGAGTCCCTTAACACTGGCCTCTTTTAAATTTCTTAAACACATCAAGCTCCTTTCTACTTAGGAATCTTCGTATGTGCTATTCTCTCTGCTTAGAGGCTCTTCCTTCTGCTCTTCACATGAGAAATTTGTTATCATCCTGTAGGTCTCAGTTTAAATATCCCTTTCTCAGAATCCACATATATAAGCAGGTCTCCTCTAATTCTCTGTCAACTCATTGGATTGATTGATTTATTAATTTATTACAAATGTGTATATATGTTACTACAAATGTGTATCTATATATGTGTGTGCTTAATTTTATTCTTCTATCTATTTTTGTATATGTTCGGAATTCTCCATAATAAAAAGGTTTTTTTAATGGAAAAATATCATTGATAAACTTTTTTTTTTAACCTCTTAAATGAATAGTCAAGCTTTTGCTTTTGCTTGCTCATACACTGTTAAGAAAATAAACATACATTGTTGTATTTTGATAGTACCTTTAAGAATTAAAAGGCACATTCCTTTGATGCCATAATTCGAGTTCTGGGAATGACTTGTGCAATTATGTAAAGACATTTATACGTGATTTTCATTGTGGAACCGCAGAGGTTTGGAAACAACCTAAATATCCATCAGTTGGTGGGGGGACAGTTTAATGAATTATGGTATAATCATACTATGAAATACTACTCAGTTATTAGAGAAGGGAGCAGTTCTATATGTAATGACATGGAATGATTTCCAAGTTAGAAAACAAGGTACAGACCACTGTGTGTAATATGCTTCCCATCATTTCTGTATTCCTCCAAAAGAGGAATTTATCCAGATTATCTTTGGAAAGGTAGACCAGCAACTAGTAACAGTGGTTGCTTCAGAGACAGGGAACCAGATGAGTGAAGGTTTGAGGGCAGGATGGAGACTTTCTTTTTTACTGAAAGAGTAATAAAAAATACTGTGGTAGTAGAGATGAATGACTGAAATTATGGGGAAGACTTTTGAAAATAAAGATAATGAAAGCTTAGTATTGCTTTTATCTAACAAAAATAGAAAATGTTGACAGGTAATTATAATAGATATTGCTAGGAGAGATGTAAAATGATTTCAGTTAGAAGTGGAAATATTATCTGGATTTTATTTATTTGTTTTTAGGTGGTGATAGTGGACTGGATGGGTTAGGAGGACCAGGTGTTCAACTAGGAAGCCCAGATAAGAAAAAACGGAAGACAAATACACAGGTAAATTGACATTTTCTGTAATAACAGTTTTTCTTCACTGATACGATCAGACTGATGAAGTCGATTTAAATTTGGTCATGGGTTTTGTTTCTCATCCTCATTCAGAACCTAATTATGAATTCTGCCTTGATTATATTTTTTTATTCTGCAACTAGTGGCTATTGTTGGACTGTAGGCAAGAGTAGATATTGCAAGGAAGTGCAGGCAGACAAGTTAAAATGCTTATTCTTAAATCTAATTTAAAAAGCATAGATACCTGTAGTTCTATTAAAATATTTAAAAATATATAGACACAAGTTTAACCTGAAGTAACGTTCCACTCTTATAATAATTCAGTAGTATGTGCATATCATGCAGCAGTCATGGTGGAGGCATCATTTGTCTATGACCTGTGGTTGTAATAAACAGTTAGAAATACTGGCTTTTGTGGTTTTATTCTCTATAAATTTTGAAGCAGTCTATGATAAAGACTACAAATAAGTATGATGTGTGTATAGACTACTTTTTTCCATGTTGGCCACCATCTATGAAACTTGCAGTGTGACTAAAACCGGCAGTTTATTTTTCCAATCTGAGGCCTAGAGCTTAGTGCTGTGGGAATACTTTAATAGCTACCCTCTAAAGCTAGGAAAGAAATTTAGATCCTGTTTATTGTTATTTAATGTTATGGCTATTTGGGGGTATAAAAGGTATTTTTAGTTAGAATTTTAAGTGAAAGATTCTAGAGTTATATGGACAAGCATATTAAATGGAAATTATGGTAATGAAGCTTCTTTTGAAGGTTACCTGTGGAGTTTGAAGTAACAATGGATTTGAGCTCAGAAAAGCATACCTTAATTCCTTTCCTAAATGAAAGAAACCTGCACTTTCTTATCATTAAATATAAGTAAATATAAACATGACTTGGGTTCGAAAGGTCAAGTGAAGAATTAAATTTTTGTAACACTGCAAGAGAAATTTGACTAAAATTAGGTTCATAAGTGTTAAGATAACAGGACAATTTTAATGACGTCTTTGATCAAAACATGTATTTTACCCTGCATTCTCATTTCAGGGGCCTTCTTTTCCTCCATTGTCTGAGTATGCTCCACCACCGAATCCAAACTCTGACCATCTAGTGGCTGCTAATCCATTTGATGACAACTATAATACTATTTCCTATAAACCACTACCTTCATCAAATCCATATCTTGGCCCTGGCTATCCTGGCTTTGGAGGTTATAGCACATTCAGAATGCCACCTCACGTTCCTCCAAGAATGTCTTCCCCATACTGTGGTCCTTACTCACTCAGGAATCAGCCACACCCATTTCCTCAGAATCCTTTGGGCATGGGTTTTAATCGACCTCATGCTTTTAACTTTGGGCCACATGATAATTCAAGTTTTGGAAATCCACCTTATAATAACGCACTAAGTCAGAATGTTAACATGCCTAATCAACATTTTAGACAAAATCCTGCTGAAAACTTCAATCAGATTCCTCCACAGAATGCTAGCCAAGTGTCTAACCCTGACTTGGCATCTAACTTTGTCCCTGGAAATAATTCAAATTTTACTTCTCCATTAGAATCCAATCATTCTTTTATTCCTCCCCCAAACACTTTTGGTCAAGCAAAAGCACCACCCCCAAAACAAGACTTTAATCAAGGAGCAACCAAAAACGCTAATCAAAATTCCTCTGCTCATCCGCCTCACTTAAATATGGATGACACAGTGAATCAGAGTAATATTGAATTAAAAAATGTTAATCGAAACAATGCAGTAAATCAAGAGAATAGCCGTTCGAGTAGCACTGAAGCTACAAACAACAGCCATGCAAATGGGACGCAGAATAAGCCACGACAACCTAGAGGTGCGGCAGATACGTGCACCACTGAAAAAAGCAATAAATCCTCTCTCCACCCAAGCCGTCATGGCCATTCTTCTTCCGACCCAGTGTATCCTTGCGGAATTTGTACAAATGAAGTGAATGATGATCAGGATGCCATCTTATGTGAAGCCTCTTGTCAGAAATGGTTTCACCGGATCTGTACTGGAATGACTGAAACAGCTTATGGCCTCCTGACTGCGGAAGCCTCAGCAGTGTGGGGCTGTGACACCTGTATGGCTGACAAAGACGTCCAGCTAATGCGCACTAGAGAAACGTTTGGTCCACCTGCAGTGGGCAGTGATGCTTAATCACGGCCAGTAACTAAAGTGGGTTTTTTTTCCTGTGTATTACAGAAGTTCAGTGACACAGGATTTTAATGTTTTACATTATTTTTTTAAATGCACACACAAGATTATTTACCTTTTAGTTTTTATTAATATTCCACTTCAGTACTAGTGCAAATTTTGTATCATTGTTTGCTATCTTCAATGAGAATAATGTATATGAGGTGCTTTAGGAAGTACTATACAAATAAATGTTATTTGTTGTTGTTAATCATAAACAGAAAAGCCTCTTGAAGCTTCAAAATAATATGTAGCAAATGTAGGCAAGTTTTGACTTTTAAAAGAATCATTGAAAAATGTGTACTTCAGCGCTGAACTTTGGCAATATCACATTAAACAGTTCAAAAATTTTTCAAGGATCCATTTAACGTGTTTTCAGGAAAAATTTATGTAGCTATAACATGAAAGGAACCATACGTTTTAATGGATGTTTTTAAAATAAATAGGGTATGACACCAGATTCCTCCCCACCCTGGGTCCTTGAAATTAGTGACTTTCTTATTTTTAAGTCAGTCTTTCCAGGATATCTGTTTGTAGAGAGATGAGACAGATGTTAGCATAGAGTAGATGCTCCGTAAGTATTCATTGATTGACTTGTGGATTGTACCACATGAAATTGCTAATATTAGATCAGTTGAAAATTGACTACAATTAGTAGAGTTGACATAAAGGTATGTTTCTAGTTGTGCTATTTAGAATTATTATAATATGCTCTTCAATCTTCAATTTTCTTTGATTATTGAGTTGCATTGTTTTCCGGAGAAATAAATAATATAGTATCCTCAGAGGAATTGCGAATAGCTTTTCTAATATGATTTCAAACTGCAACATATTGCAAGTGAGACAGGTAGAAACATCAATTAGGCGTTACAAGGCTCTGCTAGCGAAAGAACTACTCAGTGGTGGTTTGAAAACTCTTGTTCTGGGGATCTGAATTCAAAAATGAGCCCCAGGAGAGATCAAAATCAATTTTAAGCAAAGACCAATTAAGAGCCAAGGTGAAAGCTAACTCAACAGTTCGAGGCCTGCAGCAGACAGGAGTTTCTGCTATGACTGGGAAAAGTGTAAAAATGGACCCAAAGTATCCTCTTGAGAGATGATAAAGAACGGAGATGGTTGAAGGGGAAGTCATTAAGATTCAAAACAGCAGAAACCTATTTTTGGAGAGGATCATAACATGTGACCACACAAAAAAAAAGATACTGTATCACAATTGATAGCAGTTTATACAATGGTTGGATGTTGGTGAAGCTCCCAAACTTGTGCAGTCATTATCATTGCAACCAAAAAAGTCCTGAAGACTGTATGGTGATCTGCGAAAGGGATAATTGACTACTACTGTTTAAACCCTGGTGAAACTACAGCAACAGCATATTGCCAAGAAATTAAAATTATGCATGAAAAATTTAATTAAAAAACGTCCTTTGATTAATAAACATGAACTTACACTTTTACATGACAGCACTTGACCTCACATGTCACAAGCCACTAAAGCAAAGTTAATTGAATTGGGCTGTTAAATCTGGTCATGTCCGTTGTAGTCACCAGCCGTTTATCCAGTCAGCTACTGTCTTTTTCATCATTTAGAGCTTTTTCTAAGAAACAACATACTCTCCAGTTGAGAAGCAGTAATTGGAGGATTTGAACAATTTATACAGCCTAACATGATGAATTTTATAAAAATGAAATATTTAATTAGCTATTAGAAGAAAATTATTAATGCTCATGCGTATTTTGATTGAATAAAACTTATTTTTTTAAATACAGTGTTTTAATTTTGACCTACGAAAACAGCAATTTCATATGGTACAAGGTAATATAAGGTTTTCTCCATTTACCTGTGACTAGTTAGAGGTGAGTACAAAGTATTTTCAATAGTTGTAAAATATATATCTTTACAGTTTTAGGAAATGAAATGATAGAAACTATAATACTAGGTACTCCTTTGTGTGAAAACTTTACCAGTTGAGGCAGATTAAAATTCAGTATTTTTGGCTGACTCTGATATTTGATATGTTCAGTAGCATACTTGAAGATCCCATTTTGCTTACATTGTAGCTTTTGTTAGAGATACATAATTTTTTAAATGTTTAAGGACCTAGTTATGTTTTTCTTGAAATCCTAGTGAGTGCTAATTTTTAAGAAATGATGCACTGCATGTATGCCCAGTCCTAGTATCAGATCATGATTTTTTATGACTGAATACAGTTAAATAGATATTGAGTAGAACCTTCCAGTGTCGGCAGGAGTTAACACTTTATGTGGTATACTTGAGTTATGCTCATTGCTAAAATTCTGTAGTTCGTAAGCCTTCTGTTGCTTACAGTTTCAGTAGTTAGTTGTTTTGTGAAAATGAAATAACCTCTCCCGAGCTAAAGATACTTGATTTGTAATGTGATTCTTACATTTTCCATTTCCAAGTAGCTGTTTTTTAAAACTTACAAACAAGTGAATTTTTATTCAAGTATTTAGGTCTTCAGAGCACCTTACTTAAATAGGAATCTGTAAATACTCAAAAGAAAAACCCGTAGTTGATTTTGCCAATGAATCACAGGCAAACTATAATCATGACTGATGAATGTTTTCATGTATTTGAATTAATTTTCTTACTGGTTCCACATTTGTTTCTACATAACACTAAGTCCAAAGTTATCTAGATCTTTTTGGTAGGGAAAGTGATGAACTATAAGAATGGCCAGATACTGATTTGCCCTATTTGACCAAAGACGGCTATTATACAAATTGATACGGCTTTCTTAGGTGATGAGCTGCCCTAAACATTTTAAAATATTCAGTGATGGAAAGAAATGCACACAGGTGGAGTAATCTAGTCGCATTGTACCTTTTTGATGTAAGACTTTTCCTTCACTGAAAGGCCTCATCTCACATGTGCACGTGTGTGCGCGTGCACACACACACACACACACACACACAGTTGAGCAGGAGTTTCTCCTACAGTCTCAAGTTTTGCCAAAGTTCAACCTGGCTAGCCTTCAGCAGCGAGGCTCTCTCACCAAGACTAGGTTACTGATAGAAAGTTTTAAAGCATCAATTCCTTTCTCAGAACTTGCTTTCCTCATTTCACTAGAGAATTCCTGGTCCCCTTGCTCCTAGATGCTACTGGACTCACTAATACTGAAATAGCTTAGCTGGTGAAAGACAAATCAATTATTCTTCAGATAGAGTGCTTAGAATTTAGATTTGCGATCAGTGTTTTTGTTTTGTGTGAAATACTTGAGTACTGCTATTATGATTCTTGTTATCCAGATTAGAAGATGTGTACATAAAACTGAAGATTTTCTTGTCCTAGTGCTTATTCTTCATAGAGTAACACAATATGAAGAAATCCAATTTTTTGGCTTTTTTTTTAAACTCCCAAGTCTGCCTAGTGGTAGGAAAAAACCTCAATAGTGTTTGTCACCATGATATCTGCTGACTTTAATCATCCAAATAAAATAAGTATCAGGAATCTTCATCTAATATTCTTTCAAACTTGTTCGTCCTGAATATTAACAGTGCTGGTACTTACTGTCCAACATACTATGGTAATTGTATTTAATAGTAAAAAAATATATAAGCAATGTTTTTTAAAGGGAGCTCTAAAGAGTTTGGATTTCTTTTTTGCAGTGTATAGAGGTTTCATATGCATGAACATTTGTACTATTTTAGATTTTTTTTAATTAAAAGCATCTAGGCTCCCAAAGTTCATTTGTAAATAGTGGTTTGGAACTCTGTATAAGATGATTAGATTCTTAGGGAAGTTCATAAAGGCTTATTTAAACCGTAATGTTGTTAACCAATAGTACCATGCTGAGTGCTCTGTAGCCTGAGTTTTCTTTAGGGAACCAATCAATGTAGGAGGGAAAAAGAAGCAGAGGTCTTTCCTTTTTCCTGATGTGATTCAGGAAGGTTAAGTTCTTTGGTCTGAATGTTTCCCAGTTGCCCTCTTGCCATCCTAAACTCTCTAGTGGATTGCCATATAAGCCGACTTGCCTTTCCCTTTGTGGATGCTCTTTGCTTCAGAATTTCTTATCTTTCCTCCAATTGGAATTCCCATTTCTTTGTGTGGCTGCGGTTGGCTAGATTTTAAGGGAAAAGTGTTTTCCACCAAGATGTGAATGAAGATAGTGAAGAAAGTGAGATTAAATTCTCTTTTTAAAAAGACTTTATTCAGAATGAATCTTTAAGATTTCAGACAATATGACTAAATTTCACGCACCATGGGAAGCAGTATTTTTATTGACTTGGCTGTTACTGTCTTGAGAGTACTTCCCAATTTCCTTTATATTGTTGGGACTTTTCACAGTTTCCCTTCCTCTACTTCTGAACCCAGAGTTTTTCTTCTTATTTCTAAACTTTAGTAACTTCCACTTTTCTCTCTTCCCTTTCTCCGATAAAGCAGTATAGAAGTGGTTGGTACAGTGAGGGGAGTTTAGAGGCACGCCTAGAGTAAGGAGGCTAGGGATGGCATTAACATCTCCCAAGACAGTGGTCTGGGGGAAACGAAGGGAAGAAGGTGGCTATGTGTAAGCCAGACGTTAGTACATCAGAGGCTGCCTGTATTTTATTGAAAGCTTTTAATGAAACCCAATGGGTAAGCTTCATCTTTGTCATATTTTGTCAAAATACATAACTTGCAGTTACATTGAAACTTACTCTAAATACCTGTACTTTTCTTGTTCTGTAGATGATGTAGATGCTGTTGCTTGTTAGTTAAAATATCTTTTATAAAAGAAAGTCCTGCTTCTTATCATGATGTATGTGACTTAAATGACTGTTTCATATTAAAACTATTTCTTCCTTATGTACTGTTTACATATACCTCTTTTTGGGATATTAGTTCAGTACTTTTATACAAATCTGAGTGTGTTCCACATTGGTGACATGTATTTTTGCAGTAATTTTTTGTTTTGTTCTTAGAGCATGTCTAAAGTAACACATGCACTAGTGCTGTGGTCTGTGGCAAAATTACTGTAATTCAAATTGGAAAATAAAATGTTTCCAGACTTTGTCCAACATTTATTCCTATGGCAAAGGAAATTACTATGTAATACTAATTATTTCTTACGCTGGTATGTTTAAGCTACTCTATGAAGTATGTGAAACATCAATATTTCTGGATTAGTAGATGGCCTGATGTCTTTGAAAGGGGAGAGGGGTAAAATTTGGTGTTAGCAATTCATAACACTCATAATACAATAAATACTTCTTAAAAGTTTGACCTTCCTCTTGCAGTTATAATTTACTAAGGATTTATTATCTTAATTGACAGTGCATATTAGGATTTTTTTAGCCCGTATTATTAAAATTATATACTAGACTTTGAACTTATTCTGATATCTTCCAACCAAAAAAGATATCATTAATTCACCATAATCAAAATAAGTAGTAATACTCTTCTCCATTTATTAAGAAACTATTACAATACAATAAAACTCCTCTAATTTACTTAGCATTTGTATCCATTGTTACAAGGACTTGAATGGTGTTTACTTGGTACTATCTGATGAAAAGACTTGTTAATAAAACTCAGAATCAAGATTTTCAAGAAAAATGTTTAATCTTGGAAAATTTTTAAGCTTTTTAGAGGAATTTATTTAAGAATACAATACTAGTTTAAAAGCATTCTTTTGTCATTAAAACAAGTAGCCAAAAGAATTGTAGTAGGTAATACTTGGCCAATGCAAATTTGTATATTTGAAAGTATCTGCTTGAAAGAAAAAAGAAATGTTCGTGAGTGCTTAAACTGCATATCTTTTTAAAATACTCAAATTGTTAGACTTTAATCAATCCAAACTAAACTGAATTAATAAGCTTTTACTACATCAGTGATGTATATTACAAGATAAGTGTCTACCTATGTTATGTTAATGATATCTCTATACAGCATCATTTTTGGCATGGTTGTATATTTTGTACATTTGATTGTCAACTATTGATAGGACTGACATAGCAATAAATCTCATTCAGTTCTTAATATTTTTTTTAAATGGCAGATACCATACTGTGTCATAATCCTATTATATTTTACTTGAATACCCAGTGTTTTTATGGGTTTATTTTTTGTGTTAAAAATTTAGTATCACATGTTAGGGGTTTATTTTCTCCTGGTTATTTTCACATAGAATCTTTTAGAACTGGGTCTATTTCTATTTAAATCATAGAGGTTTAAAGAAGTATTAGTATTAAGTGATTAATGAATTGCTCTGTGGAAAAATTTAAGTATGAAATGACTAGGTTACCCCCAAATTGTTTATTTTCTTTACATGGTTAATGTACAGGTTTCAGTTTTCAGAGAAATAAAATTGGCTTAGTAACTGATTGAGTATAGTAGATAAAGGGTAGTTTGACTGTCTAAGGGCTTCCAAGTTTTAAACCAAATAATTCTCAATTCTGAATTACTTTTTAGTAATTACTATAAATAGTGGTAAGCCAGTTCTCCCTTTTCTTTTAAAGATATTTAACTCTCACAGTTTACTCCTTCTGATCCCTTTTCCTTCTTCTTAAACACCATGCTAGAATTTAAAATTGGGGGAGTTTAACTTACCTTCCACATTTTAGTTTTTTATTCTATAGATAAGTAGTAAGACAAGTAAAGGTTCTACTATCAAAACAGTCCGTGTTATTGTTGGCCATTCTTTTCAGGGATTGTGCTAAATGTCATGTGTGCATTGTATAAAGAATGTTATCAGTATATAGACCTACCTTTAGTAGAAATTATGTACGGCAGGCTTTCTTGAACAATATGTATTGTAAGTTTCCTATCGTGTTATGCTTCAGATTCTTTTAAATAAAGCTAGTTTTTAAAGAGAAAAATAACTTTTTAAAGTGTTTGACTTTCATCAGGACAAGTAGGTTTGACAGTCTGGGCTTTGGGTAGGATGGGTCCTTCTAGTTGTGGCATGTGGGATGCCACCTCAGCATGGCCTGATGAGTGGTGCCATGTCCGCACCCAGGATCCAAACCGGTAAAACCCTGGGCTGCCGAAGCGGAGCGCAGGAACTTAACCACTTGGCCACGGGGCTGGCCCCCAGAAATTTAATTGTATCCTGAGGAGTAAACCAATATCTTTGGACACACTTTGCTATATACATACTTGTTTTTCCCTGTGAAGTTTATACATAACACTGAGTCGTGAGTTTCCTTAAGAAAATGTGAGCATAGTGTATCTCTATCTTGATTCTAACAAACTAGGACCTCAGTTCTTTCAATAAAAAATTAATTGGAGAGGGGTTCTAAACCTCAGCAGCTTAACAATTCCTGAAGCAGAGACACCACTGTAGCAATATGAAGAACAAATTTGCTTAAATGATAAGATTAGATTTACAAAAGACCTCTAAAATTTATTTGAAACAACCATCAGGTGCCTTGGGTCTTACATGAAAAGAGGCTGCATAAAATGTGAATGTGTCAGTTGCCGCACCTTGGCATTAGAGTTAATAGAAGTGACAATAAGATAAAATTACATCAAGGTAAAATTTGAATGCACAGAAGTTCTATTTAAACAAATGGAAGAAAGAAAAATGTATCTCACCTGCTGTAGGAGAGAAAAGATGTACAGAGACTTCTGATCAAATAACATTATGACCATGCTCTAAGGCATCCCCTCTGCTCCAAACATATCAGTGATAAATATAAAAAGATAAAATTGGGTTCAAAACCAACAAATAAATCCAAGGACAAGAAATATAAAAAGAAAGCATAGACCATGCTGAAGCAGCAGCCTGCCTGACTCTGGGTTCAGAGCAGAAATTTGCAGTCAGAAGTTCTAATATGACAGGGTAATGAGGTCTAAAAGTGCTACTACATTTCAAAATCTATGAGATGCAGTAACAGTACTAAAAGGGAAATGTATAGCTGTCGATAATTTCTAAGCCCAAAATATGATGAGCTAAGTATCAATCCTAAGAGGATAAGAAAAGAATAAAAAATCCTAAGGAAAGTACTAGGAAGGAAATAAAAGAATAGGAAATAAAATAGAAAACAGAGGAATAATAAAGCTACAAGTAGGTTATTTAGAAGATTAATAAAATTAATGAGCCTCTGGTGAAACTGATTTTTCTAATCGTAGACAGAAATAACAGGAACGAAAAAGGGGACAAAAAACAGCACTGCTCTAAGCCAGGGGCTGAGCTGGGATTCCTCTTCACTGCTGCTCCACTTGTGAAGGAGGCTAAAAAGCAAAACCTACCTCCAACTGATACCTGAGGCTCTAGCTCATAGGAAGATGCAGGCCTAAGATGGCGGAAGTGCACAGTTTTGCAAAGAATTGAAACAGTGACTTAGCATCTAACACTTGGCTGAATCAGGGTCCCTAGGACACAAGTCGAAGGCAACTTAAAACTGCTAGAAAGGAAAAGATGAACCCAGAGGAAAGAAATACAAATCAAACAAAGGGAAAAAAAACCACTGTAAATGAAAACTTCAAAACATAAAAAACCTCATGATTAAAAGAACAGCCAACCAACACCTTTTGAAATTTTAATCCACTCAAGATGAAAAAATAAAAGAGCCCGAAAAAGACGTTAAGGTAAGTATGTTTCAGAATCATGAAAGGTAAACTAAAGAATAAAAATAAAAATTATGAAGCCCAGTAAGTAGACATTCATTCATTCATTCATTCAATATTTATTGAGTGTTTTCATGTGTTGGGCACTGTTCTAGATGCTAAGAATATAGCAGTTAATCAAATAGAAAAAAATCACTACTTGAGGTTTTTATTCTAAGGAGACAGAAAATAAACTATAAAGTATGTTAGAGAATAAGGGCTGTGAAGAAATAAAAAGGGAATGCTGGGGGTGGTAAGGCAAGAGGTGCAAAGTTCGTAGTTTTTAGGAGCTCAGTGAAAAAAGATTTAAGTAATGGCTTGAAGGATAAGAGAGACAGTCATGCAGATAACTGGTGAAGAGAAGTCCAGACAAAGGTAACAACAGGTACAATGACCCTGTGGCAGGAGCATGCTTGGCACATTTCAGGTATTTCAAGGAGGCCAGTGTGTCTGGAATGGAGTGACAGAGGAAGAGTAAAAGGAGATAAGCTTACAAAAGTAACCGGAAACCAGATTATGTGGGACTTTGTAGGTCATTGTAAAGTTTTTGGCTTTTACTCCAAGTGAGATAGGGAGTGTCTGGAGGATTTTCAGGGGAGAAGGATCATTCTGACTGCAGTGTTGAAAATAAATTAGAGAGGCAGAGAGTTTAAGGAAGACAACTAGTTAGGAAACTATTACAATAATCTATTTGAGAGATGATGTGACTGAACCACAAAGATGGCAGTGGAAGGAGTGAAAAGTGGATCTTGTTTGGTTTTGATTCAAATAAAATAACTGTAAAAACACACAACTGAGGAAATATGACTATGAACTGAGATTATGTGACACTGATTATTTTAGTATTCTTACAGCAATGACATTCTGTTTATGTAAGAAAAATGCCCATTTTTAAGAAGATGCATACTGAAATACTTATGACTTTTCAATTAGCTTACAAATATCCAGGGGGCAGAGAGGGGAGGAAGCCAAAACAAATCAGAAAGGATATATAAGATTTAAACAACACAATTTTCAAACATGACTTAGTGATCATATATGGGATGTTCGAGTGGTAAAGCATACTAGTCCCTTGTCTCATTGAAGATGTATATAAAAATAATGAATAATTTCAGATTTTGTTAGGAAAAAAATTTAGTGAATTATGTATTTAAAAAGTTACAACTTTTTAAAAAACTTATGTCATAACCTAAAGATAAATACAATGTAGTTGCTAAACTAGCAAAAGGCAAAGCAGAATATAGAAAACTTTATCAAGCCAAAAAAAGGAAAGCAGCTAAAAAGAAACAATAACAAAAAACACAAATAAAACCAAATCTATCAGTAGTTAAAATAAATGTAAATAGATTAAATTCACCTGACACTGTCAGATCAGACCAAGAAAAATTTTTTTTCCCCCAAATGCTGCTTATCAGAGATATACGTAGGGTCTGGCCCAATGGTGTAGTGGTTAGGTTCATGGACTTCGCTTTGGCAGCCCAGGGTTTGTGGGTTCAGATCTTGGGTGTGGACCTACACACTGCTCATCAAGCCACTCTGTGGAGGCATCCCACATACAGAATAGAGCAAGACTGGCACAGATATTAGCTCAGGGACAATCTTCCTCAAGCAAAAAGAGGAAGATTGGCAACAGACGTTAGTTCAGGGACAATATTCCTTGCCAAAAAAAAAAAAAAAAAAAACCCCAAGAGATACACATAGAAATTTCAAAAGCAAAGGGATAGTTTATGTACAATGATATTCATTAACAAGTGGAAAAGCCAAATTCTAAATGATTGCATACTTAAAAAAAAATTTAAGGTCATCTATATAATAGAAAACTGAAGAATTAAAACTTCATGTTGTACAAAAAATGGAATGGAAGAAATGATCACAATTATGAAGTTAAAAAAGTTTATGAAAATAGTAGGTTATATACAGAATGATCACAATTAATTTTTTAAACAAATATTTTATATATCTATATATACCTACCTAGAGAAAAATGTGTAGAATGATTTTAGGCCAAAATATTAACTGTAGTTATCCCTGGATAATGACAGTGTGGGTGATTTTTCTCCTTAGAATTACCAACAATAAACATGTATCCCTCTGGTCATCAGAAAACGTAATTTAAAAAGAAAAAAGTAAAGAGAAAAGAAAAGGTATACCAGAAAAATACTAATCAAAGAAAGCTAATACAACAATGTTAATGTCAGACAAAATAGAATTTAAGGCTCTTAACAAAAAAAACCAAGAGGTAAGTGTTGGTAAGAATGTGGAGAAAAGGGAACCCTTGTGAACTATTGGTGAGAAAGTAAATTGGTACAGCCATTATGGAAAACAGTATGGAGGTTCCTCAAAAAAACAAAAATAATTTTAAGAGGGTCAAAATGTAAAAAGAAAAAGTAAAGTAAAAATAGAACTACGTATAATCCAGCAATTCCACTCCTGGGCATACAATCATGCGTTGCTTAACAACAGGGATATGGTCTAAGAAATGCATCATTAGGTGATTTTTTCATTGTGCGAACATCATAGAGTGTACTTACAGAAACAAACCTAGATGGTATAGCCTAAGATACATCTAGGCCATAGGTACTAATCTATGGGACCACCATCATATATGTGGCCTGTCACTGACTGAAACGTCATTATGGGGCACATGACTATATAGCCAAAGGAAATGAAATCACTATCTCAAAAAGATATCTGCATCCCCAAGTTCACTGTAGGATTATTTACAATCGCTAAGACGTGGGAACAACCTAAGTGCCTGTCAATGGATGAATGGATGAAGAAAATGTGAGATCTCTATACATATAGACAGATAGATAGATTGATCGATCTCACATTTTATATATGTATATAATGGAATATTATTTAGTCATTAAAAAGAAGTAAATTCTGCCATTTGAACAACATGGATGGAACTTGAGAGCATTATGCTAAGTGAAATAAGTCAGAGAAAGACAGATGCCATATGATCTCACTTATATGTGAAATCTAGGAAAACTGACCTCATCGATATAGAGAATAGACTGGGGTTGTCAGAGGCAGGGGTGGGAGGTGCATGGAATGGGGAAAGGTGGTCAAAAGGTACAAACCTCCAGTTATAAGATAAATAAGTTCTGGGAATGTAATGTATGCACAGTAACTAAAGGTAACAATATTGTATCATATATTTAAAAGTTGCTAAGAGTATAGATCTTAAAAGTTCTCATCACAAGAAAAATAATTGTAACTATGTAAAGTGATGAACGTTAAGTAAACATTGTGGTGATCATTTCACAATATATACACACACATCAAATCATCATGTCATATATCTAAAACTAATATACAATGTTCTATGTCATAAGGAGAAAAAGAATAGGAAGGAGAACATTTTATAATTATAAAAGGAACAACCCATCAAAATGATAAAATAATCATGAACATGTATGCTTATAACAGAGCCTCAACATACATAACACAAAAGACAGAATTACAGAGAGAAAAAGCAACAATTGTGTGAGGTTTTAAAACAAATTTCTATCAGAAAATGATAGCTCTAATATATGTGTGTGTGCGTGTGTGTGTGTGTATTTTAAATAATAAACCTGTATCAAGATGCATTTAGAATATTCAACCAAATGTAGCTAAAACAAGAGTTTAATTATTTCACATAAGATGAAGTTTGAAGATAGATGGTTCCAAGGCTGGTTAATTCATCAGCTCAATGTCAGGAAACTGTGCTGGTTTCTCTGTGGTTCTCTTGGCTTGCCTCTCATGGTTGCGAGGTGGTTACTACTGCTCCATATATCATTTTCTCACAGAACAACATCCAAAAGCAACCAGGAAAGGAGGTTCATGTTGCTCTGTTTTTATCAGGGAGAAATATCTTTCAGAAGCCCCGAGCAGACCTTCCCTTCGAGAAACAGGAATGGTTAGTTTAGACAAAACATGATTCATCCTTTGAGGCTAGACCTATCTTTCTGAAAATATTGCTATCTGATATGCAAACAAAATAGAGGTTCTGATAGCAAGGAAAAGGGGAGAGTAGTTTTTGGATAAGCAACCAATAGCATCTGCCTCAAAAATTAACAAGCTCGATGTAATAAAGAACCTTGTACCAAATAAATAAAAAATATACATTCTTTTCAAGCACTCAAGGAACTACCATGCAAAACTTTACCATGTCCTAAATTAACATATTTCAAAGAACTTTTATCATGTAGACTGTGTTGCCTGACCAAAAGATAATGAAAAGAAATCCATATATTTAGAAAATAAACTCTTAAGTAACTAATTTATTAAAATGACAATTATGTAACATTTAAACCTAATGACAGCTTAAATACTGTATATCAAAACTAAAGGCATAGGTTCAAAAGATAGAAAGTTGCAAAGAATCTTGCTAGCACCCTAACAATAAGAAAATGATGGATAATCTGCAAAACTGTAACTTTTCCCCAAATCATCAGAAAGCTGATTTCAAAGGCAATGAAGTAATCTGAATACCAGAGGGGGACAAGCCGTTCCAAGGAGAAATAGAGCACATGACCTGTTTCATGTGTTGGTAGACCTGTCCTGCCACAAATGTCAAAGGAAGTTCTTCAGGCAGGATTATACCAGACAGAAACTTGTATCTACACCAAAAAATGACGAGTGTTGGAAATGGTAAAAAGGAAGGTAAATATAAAAGCCATTCTTTCTTATTCTTAAGTGCTTTGACGCAGGCATATATAGTTGGTTGGTTTTTGAAAAAGTCACCAAGATAATTCAATAGAGAAATGATTCTATAACAATGATGCTGAAACAATTGGACAATCATATGCCATAAAAAATGAGCCTGCACCTATGCATGGCTACATATTTTTAAAAAATTAACTCAAAATAGAACTCAAATCTAACTTTCTTTCTTTTTTTTTTTGGTGATGAAGATTGACCCTGAGCTAACATCTGTGCCAATCTTCCTCTATTTCATATGTGGGACACTGCCACAGCATGGCTTGATGAGCAGTGCGTAGGTCCACATCCAGAATCCGAACCCATGAACCCCAGCCCGCCAAAGCCAAGCACGTGAACTTAACCACTATGCCACCAGGCTGATCCGTCAAATCTAAATTTAAGACTTAAAAGTATAAAACTTCTAGAAGAAAACAGAAAAACTTTGTGAATCTAGGTTAGGGAACTATTTCTTAGATAAGACTCAAAAGCACAAACATTTTGAAAGCTCGTAAATTAAGCTTTATCCAAACCACAGAATGTGAGGAAATATTTGAAAAACACATGTCTAATAAAGGACCTGTATCCAGATATATGAAACACACAATTCAATAATAAGAACATAGACAAATTTTTCAAATGAGTAAAAACTTGAACAGACACTTCACCAAAGAGTAAAATGCAAATGAGCACATGAAAAGATGCTCAGCATCATTAGTCACTAGAGAAATGCAAATCAAAACCATAATGAGATACCAACAGGCAACTATTAAATTTGCTAAAATTAAAAAAAAAACCCTACTAATACCAAGTGCTGATGAATATGCAGAATAACTGAAATTTTCATACACTGCTGGTAGGAATGCAAAATTTGTATGTTTGAAAGAGGCTGGCAGTTTCTCACAAAATTGAACACCTACTATACCACCCAGCACTTGAGTGTTTGTGATGTTTACTTTCAACTCCTTGCTAAGCTGCTAAGCTGAAGCTGCAAGATTCTTGTGTTTTTGTGCCTCTTCAAGTGAGAAAAGACTTTACCTCGGCTTGTGTGAGTGTGAGATATAATCCTGCCTCTGTAAAGTATTAGTAAATTAAATTATAAGGCTCTTAAAATAAGGGAGCACGGTTCTGATCGGTTTGCAGCAATTCTGCCCCTCTCTCCTTGGGGACATTTGAAATATCTAGAGAAGCTTTTTGTTGTCACATCTTGGGGGTGCTTCTGGCATCTAGTGGGTAGAGGCCTGGATGAGCCACCCATCTTACAATGCCCAGGACGGCCCTGTGCGACCAAGAATTATCTGACCTACATGTCAATAGTGCTGAGGCTGAGAAACCTTAGTTTATAGAGATTAAAAAGCAATTATATACATCTACTATTCTCAAAACTTCCCCAAAACAAACTGAACATCTAATGCTTTAAATGTGGTAACATTTTAAAGAAAAACAAAATTCTTCTCACAGAAGCCGCTAGCTCAGAAACATTTTTTTAAAAATAAGAAACCAAGTTCATGCAATCAAATCAGACATTTGATAATTTATGTTTAAAAAACAGCTATACCTTCTTCCTGATTATATCAGTGTGAAGTAAAATACAAGTGTACGTTTTATTCTTTTTAAAGACTTGAATTTGTTTTCTTATGAAGAGAATAATTAATCAGAATTTCCTACATTTTTTATATGCAGTTGATCTGATAAAATAACGTGACTCCTACATATTTAGGCTAAGGAACAATGAAAAGTTTTGCTTAATCAAAGTGACATATAATTCCAATAAATTTTTAAATATTAAGATTATATTGTGTTTTGCAGTGTGTCAGTTTATTTTTTTAATTTTTTGGCTCTGAGCTAACATCTGTGCCAATCTTCCTCTATTTTGTATGTGGGATGCCGCCACAGCATGGTTTGATGAGCAGTGTGTAGGTCTGCACCTGGGATCCAAACTTGCGAACCCCAGGCTGCTGAAGCGGAGTGTGTGAACTTAACCACTACACCACCAGGGTGGGCCCTAAATGTTGGAACTTTTAATAGTTTAATGTTATGGTAGGAAATATCTGTATTTATCTAAACACAAATTTTAAAATTTTAAACTAAACTCAGTTATAAAGTGTTAAAAAATTGTTGACAAAACAAAAAATTTATATCTGTTTATATTCTCCTCTTATTAATCCTCTTTATTAAGCATACAAAATTCTACTTTAATAATAGCTATTCTCCTTAATGGGAAATTACGATTCTTTTAATACATTTTATTTTTTACAGCAGTTTTAGGTTCACAGAAAAACTGAGCAGAAGGTATAGAGATTTCTCATATACCACCTTCCCCTACACATGCATAGCCTCTCCCATTATCAACATCCCCCCCAGAATGGTACCTTTGTTACAACTGATGAACCTACATTGAAACATCATTATCACCCAAAGTCCATAGTTTACATTAGGTGTTGCACATTCTATGGGTTTGGACAAAGACATATTGACATGTATCCACCATTATAGTATCATACAGAGTAGTTTCAATTCCCTAAAAATCCTCTGTGCTTTGCCTATTCATTCCTTCCTCTCCCGTAACCTCGAGCAACCACTGATCTTTTTATTGCCTCCATAGTTTTGCCTTTTCAGGATGTCATATAGTTGGAATCATACACTATGTTCCATTTCAGACTGGCTTCTTTCACTTAGTAATATGCATTTAAGTTTCATCTATGTCTTTTCATGGCTTGACAGCTCATTTCTTTTTAGCAATGAATAACATTCCATTGTCTGTATGTACCATAATTTATTTATCATTTCACTTACTAAAGTACATCTTGGTCACATTCAAGTTTTGGCAATTATGAATAAAGTTGCTACAAATATCTGTGTACTAGTTTTGCGTAGACATAAGTTTTCAATTCTTCTGAGCAAATACCAAGGAACATGATTGCTGGATTGTATGGTAAGAGTATGTTTTGTTTTGTAAGAAGGCACTAAACTGTCTTCCGGTGGCTTTACCATTTTGCACTGCCACCAGCAATGAATGAGAGTTCCTGTTGCTCCACATCCTGGTCAACATTTGGTGTTGTCAGTGTTCTGGATTTTGGCCATTCTAATACATGTGTAGTGGTATTTCATTATTGTTTTAATTTGTATTTCCCTAATGAAAAATGATGTGGAGCATCTTTTCATATGCTTATTTATCATCTGTGTATCTTCTTTGGTGAGGTATCTGTCAAGGTTTTTGGCTCATCTTTTAATCAAATTGTTTTTTAAGAGTTCTTATGTATTTTGGATAAAAGTCCTTTATCAAATATGCCTTGGGCAAGCATTTTTTCCCAGTCTGGGGCTTGCTGTTTCATGCTCTTGACAGTGTCACTCACAGAGCAGAAATTTTTAATTTTAATGAACTCCAGCCTATCAATTCTTTCTTCCATGGATCACACCTTTGGTGTGTATCTAAAAAGTCATCGTCAAACTCAAGGTAATCTAGACTTTTTCCTCTGTTATCTACTAAGAGTTTTATAGTTTTGCATTTTACATTTAGGTCTATGATCCATTTTGAGTTTATTTTTATGAACAATGTAATAGTTATGTGTAGATTCACTTTTTTGCACGTGGATGTCCAGCTGTTCCAGCACCATTTGTTGAAAAGACTGTCTTTCCTCCATTATACTGCCTTTACTCCTTTGCCATTGATCTATTTGTCTATTCTTTCACCAGTACCACACTGCATTGATTACTGTTCTTCCCAACTTGATCTACAGATTCAATATAATCCCAATCAAAATCCTAGCAAGTTATTTTGTGGATATCAAAAAACTGATTCTACAGCTTATATGGAGAGGCGAAAGACCCAGAACAGCCAACACAATCTGGAAGGAGAAGAACAAAATTAGAAAACTGACACTACCTGACTTCAAGACTTGGCCAAGCTTGGCTAAGGCTCCTTGGAGATTTCTAGGGATCTGTTAAGTCTGGCCTCATAGAATGAGCTAGGAAGTAGACACTCTGCCTCTATCTTCTGAAAGAGATTGTAGAGAATTGGTATAATTTCTTCCATAAGCGTTTAGTAGAATTCACCAGTGACCCCCATCTGGGCCTAGTGCTTTCTGTTGATTATTGATTCAATTTTTTTAAGAGATATAGGCCTATTCAGATTGTCTATTTCTTCTTACGTGAGTTTTGGCAGATTGCGTCTTTTAGGGAATTGGTTCACTTTATCTAGGTTATCAAATTTGTGGGCACAGAGTTGTTCATAGTATTCTTTTATTTTCCTTTTAATGTCCATAGGATCTGTAGTGATGTCCCCTCTTTCATTTGATATTAGTAATTTGTGTTCTCTAAGAAAAAAACTTAATTAGCCTTGAGTCTTGTTGATTTTATGGATCTTTTCAAAGAACCAGCTTTGTATTGTTGATTTTCTCTATTGGTTTCCTGTTTTCAATTTCACTGATATCTGCTCTAATTTTTATTTCCTTTTTTTTTCTGCTTACTTTGGATTTAATTTGCTCTTCTTTTTCTAGTTGCCTAAGGTGGAAGCTTAGATGATTGATTTTAGATCTTTCTTCTCTAAGATATACATTCAATGCTGTAAATTTCCCTCAGTTAAACTCCGATAAAACCCCAGCAGGTTAGGCTCTGGTTAAATAGTTTCTCCTGAAGGCAGACCTTGCTAAGAAGAACAGAATGCTCTGGCATATTTCAAAATGGTTCCTTTTCCACTCCTCCTGTTGGGAGCACAAGGAGATTTTTCTCTGATATTTACTGTGAGAACCTGGTAGAGCTTTAGGAAGTAAAACTCACAAAAATGTGGGGTGTCCCTGATGACTGGGTCTCCCTGGAGTTTTTCTCTCTCAGTCTTGCCCATAGTGAACCTCCAGCAATTGGCCAACTACGGTTCAGGTTTTCCTACCTTGGCACTGGTTCCCATGGAGGTTTATTCTCCTATTGGTTGTGATTCTCTGTATTCACCTCTTGATCTCTCCAATTTTGTGGGCAGTGGTTTGTCCCGTGACCTCACTTTTCTTACAGATCTAAGAGGAGTTGTTGACTTTTCATTCTGTTCTGCTTTTTACTTGTTAGGATGAAGTTAGGTGACTTCCAAGCTCCTTACATGCTAGAAGCACTTTTTTAAAAAGTCAAATAACTGATATTGTGCTAAAACAAGTTTAATAGGAAAAATCATCAAGATCTATACACTATAAATGTAAATCTAAGATATCTGAACCAAAAATAAAAGGAAAAAGATAGAGGGTCCCTTCATACTCTCCATATGAGCTCTACCTATACAGTCTCGTCTAATTGTCAATCACATTGTCTTTTCCTAAAGCCCAAATTTAAAATCACGAATGCATTTAAAATCTAGTAACTAGATTTTGGTCTTGAAAAGAACTAAGAATTAAAAGAACTAAGGGTTTAAAGAGAACCAAGAACTCTTGGAGAATGACTGATCCCATTTCCTAGAGATAAAAGAGGAAAAAAACTTCAAAGGGAGTCTAAGTCATCTTGTTCCAAGAAGAAAACTTTTAAAAAGCTTTAAAAAGTTCTGGAATGGTATTAAAAAACATCGTAAATCAACCTTTCCCAATGGCCAAATGTGACCATCAAAAATAAATAAAATTATAGTTAATTAATTTTAGGTTAAGAATAATCAGACAGTTTTTGCTTCATAACGTACATTTTCACTCCCTAAAAACCTCACAATATGTAAGGAGAAAATAAAGACCCTCCTCTCCTTCAGAGCTTGTTTTAAAATTTTTACTTTAATTTTGTAATATTTGTTACATACAAAATAATACAGGTATTTGTATATGTAAGTTATGAATCGTAAGATGACTAAGTATAAACCCATCACCAAAAATTAGAGAGAGAAAAAAATAACGTGGCAATTTCTTTGAAGCTCTTTGATGGGATGCCTTGACGTAAACAACAGAATCAAACAAAAATGACTGTGGATGCTCTGGGTTTTCCTAGGGAAACAGCCAATAGGACCTGGACCTCCTGTCTCCCAGTGGAAGGGGCTGCACCTGAACTCAGTTTGTCATGGTACCGACAGTTTCTTTCTTCCAATTAAAACTTTCACGTGAGTTAAGGTCTCTAGATACCAGGCAGCTGGCTTTCTCAGACAAGTCTTACATAAACAGTCTGCACCTAAATCGAGACTGCCTTGTGCCCCAGTAGTTTCCCTACTGACAAAGTTCCTTTCATGTTTGCCCTATAAGAAGGGAGAGCAACAAGGGGATAAAATTCCTCTCCTGTAATGCAAACTCAACACTGCAGATTCAGCATAGTGCTCTGAGCCCAGTGTGCTTCTCCTTGGGATGAAGGGAGAATGAGGAAACCTGTGTTTTTTTCTTGGCTTTGTAAACTTCCCCTTTCCCCAATAAAACCTATCCCTTAACCTAGTGGTTCTCAAACTTGGGTATCAGAATTACCCAGTGGGCTTGTTAAAACATAGATTGCTTGGCCCTACTTCCAGAATTTCTGCCTCAGTAGGTCTAGAGTGGGGTCTGAGAATCTGCATGTCTACCAAGTCCCCAGATGATGCTGATACTGTGATCAGAGGACCACACTCTGAGAACCTCTGTCTTAATTCACGCAGTGAGTCTGTAGAAATCAGCTCTGTTAGCTACCACGAAGGGTCCCACTTACATGACATTCACCTAGGAGTTAGCCCTTACCCTTTCTTATGTCTTACTTTCCTTTATAGTTTCAGCACATATACAGGAATTCTTAACCAGCAGATTTAGTTTTTATTGCTTTAAAGTTTTATAAAAATGGCATTATTCCTTAAAGGTCTTATATGTCTTGCTTTTTTTTCATTCATCCATCCAGTGTATAGCTACAATTAATTCATTTTTACTGTTGTATGATATTCCTTTGTGTGACTATAGCTATTGATACACACTTGGTTTGTTTTCAAGTTTTTGCTAGCAAGCTGCTATGAACAGCTACTTCCTTATCCCATCATAGAATTCCGCTGTCTTTACGAAAGGACCCAATCTAGAGGCAACCTCCCTCTCTTAGACCCTCCCCCAAATTCTAACACCCTCTTACTGAGACAACCAATGGTATGTATTCTCCTTTGCTCAATAAGTAATGAACTCAACTTGCTCAACTACAGGTGTCCCTGTGGTCTTTGTTTGAAGAGCATTGACTATACATATATATTAACATATTTTATTATGCCTTTTGGTGAACACCAGCTTAATTTTAGGTCAGGTTTTCAATCTTTTTCCTTTATGGTTCATGCTTTTTATGTCATATTTAAGAAATTCTTTCTTACTGCAAGATCACACAGATATATATTTTTTGTTGCAAACTTTTATGTCTTCATTTCACCTGAAATTCATTTTTGTGTGTGACACCACATGCATGTAGCGATCCAATCTCGTTTTTTCCACTATGGTAACCATTTCTACTAGCACCAATGTATTCAACAGTCATTCCTTTCTTTGCTTTTCGCCACCTATGTGCAGAGCCACCTTTGCCATATATCAAATTTCTATCTATATACATGAGTTAGATTAGAGCTTTTTTGTTTTTTAAATATAGATTAAGAAATACAGATTAAGACTTTAAGATTGAATTAGTTTCAAGGCTTGTGAAACTGTTTAGATAAGTACATAAATCATGAGACAATGTAAATAATTAATGATGTTTTAAATTGGCATCAGTTGATATAATGATTCAGTAATAAAACGTCAAGTTTTTTTTAAGGATATAATTCATTCAGACTGTAAAAAATTTGGTAAGACTATGGTAGTGGGGAGAACAATTTCATTGCAGAGGTGTGTATGCACTTAACCAAGTGATTACTAACAGATTTTCCTGAAACCCCCAAACAGCACAAAGTATCCTTTTTCTTATCTTTCATACATACATTATGTCACTTGTGTTTTTATATAGTGGGAGATTCCAGACTATAAAATTTTATATAAAAGGAACGCATAAACCCTGTGTTTTGAAGACACAGGGGAGTTTGAAACAAAACAGTAATAGAAACAATAGAAACAAAGTAGTAATGGAACCAAAGGGGGTAAAATGCCAAAAGCCACGGGAAAAGAAAAATCCATAGGAATAATAGGTTTCTCCGTTAGGAAGACAAAGAAAAGAAGTCCAAGATGGCTTCCAGTATTCAAAGTTACAGAACCTCGAGATAGAGGATGAACCGCTGACAAACCTGGGGAAGGTACTGAGCGGCGGCCTGTTTCAGGGAAAAGATTTTTTTCCCCTCCCGTCTGCTGCTCCTAAACTTTCCTGCTGAATTTTTCAGGAGCTTTGAAATTTCTGTTAATGGCCTCCAAAAGTAAGAAGTTTAAAACCCAAATCCCTAGATGGTAAGTAGTTTGTAGGTGCTTAACTTTCACGTAAACGCAATGTGTTTTTGCTTTTAACATCAAATTCCAGTAAACTGCCTCTACAGAAAGCAGCCCCGGGAAAGAACACTGGAATGGGAGCTAAGAGATCAGGATTTTAATCACAGTTCTGCCACTACGTGACAGATGGGCTTAAATGTACGGGTCTCAGATTCCTTACATATGTAGCATGAGGCTGTGTGATCTTCACATTTCCTTACAGCACTGAAGTTCTGAGTCTCCATAAGCAAGTGTAAAATGTATCCGTGTAAATCCAACTGACCTTACAGTTGAGTTGCAGTCAAACATCTGTCAGGTGAGTCACAGGGTCATTTCTGCCCAGTACTCAAACCACGGAGCCAACCCCCCCTGCCTGCTGTGGGAGGCTTTAGGGCTGATAGGATTTGAAGGACTACTATAGTAGGGGCAAGCTCCCAGGCAAGGATGTCTGTATGACCAGGACATTTCCCAAACAGGAACACCAAAGAGTGCTAACTTCTATAGCCTCTATCAGAACAAACAAAAGGCCACGGCTGCAATGGCGCGGGGTCGCCGCACCTGCTGCTCGCGGCTCTCGCTTTCCCACCCCGGAAGCCCACGTCCCTTTTTTGCATTCTCACACGTGAAGCTCTTTTCTTGCTTCAGCAGATGTGGGCCACCTTCTTGGGAGATTCGCTCGGACCGCAGGAAAGGGGTAAGACCCGCCCCTAACCGTGGTCTAACTGATGCCCAGCGGGCCGGGCAGCCGCGAGACGAGTCAGCGGGGTGGTGACAGGGGCGCGGCCCGGGCGCGCGGGGAACGCGGGGCGCCGCAGCCCGGCCTGACCCGGAAGGGCTGACGCATGGTAACCCCGGCTTCCCTAGCAACCGAGCGGGCGCGAGGCCGCCGCAGCCGCGCCTTCCGAGCCCGCCGACCCCCGGGATGCCCCTGCAGGTTAGCGATTACAGCTGGCAGCAGACGAAGGTGGCGGTCTTCATCTCCGTGCCCCTCCGAGGCGTCTGCGTCAGAGACGCGGACGTGTTCTGCACGGAAAACTACCTGAAGGTAGGAGCGCGATTCGTGCCCGCCGGGTCCGGGGGTGTGGCCCGAAGCTAAGGCGAGAGCGCTGCTGCGTGCGCGCAACAGGCGCTCCCTGCAGATGAGCGGCCTACAATTTTAGTCTTTAAAAAAAAAAAAAAAAACAAAGAAACAACAACAAACGGAATCCTATACAGGTGACACCTCATCTGTAGACAGACATCGTCAGATCAGAGATTATTTTTATCCAGGGCTTCCTCATATGCCTTGCTAATCTTTCGCGACCTGGAGTAAATTTATAGCAGGCATTTCAGAAAATGATTTTGGCCTCTATCACTTATTTCTTAACGGCTTTGCCTTTGATTTGTGTAACTAAATTAACTTCCGTTTCCCCCTTTCTGAATAGGTCAACTGCCCTCCGTTTTTATTTGAAGTGTTTCTCTATGCTCCCATAGACGATGAGAGCAGCAAAGCCAAGATTGGGAATGACGCTATTGTTTTCACCTTATATAAAAAAGAAGCGGCCATGTGGGAGACACTTTCTATGTCAGGTGGTAAGTTCTTTATTAAAAGATGTTCATCTGGTTGTGCTTTTTATATTTTATACCTTTTTAAAAATTCTCTTTTGACACCTTATGTTGCTCTTCCAGAAAAAAAAGAAAATAGGCATATGAGCATGATCTAAATGAGATAGTGCTTCAGCTGCCACTTAACCTAAAGATTGGCTTATTCAAAAGTTAGAGCACATTTACAATAGCTCTTAAGCCGAAGATGTGGGCTTGTATCTTCAGGGGATAAGGCCTCCGGATATAGCCTTTATTTATGGCCTAATACTTATTTTGTATTAGGCATTAACACATCTGTTAATGCTCACAACAATCTGTCACTTAGGTACCCCGCCCCCTTTTATAAAGGTGAGGTTACTGAGGCACAGAAGGGTTGAGTAATTGACAAAGGTCGCAACTACTTAGTGACAAACTGGAGCTGGAGCCTTAGCAGTTTGACTCTAGAGTAGTGCTTCTCATCCCTGGCTACATGTTTGAATCACCTGCAGAACTTTTAAATAATACAGATGTCTGAAACTCACTCTAGACCAATCAAATCAGTTTCTGGGAGGATTGGTATTTTTTCAAAAGCTTTCCAAGGATTATAATGTGCAGCAAAAGTTGAGGTTTCCTATTCTCCTGTACTCTTTTTTTTTTTTTTTTTTTTTTTGGGGTGAGGACGATGGCACTGAGCTAACTTCTGTGCCAATCTTCCTGTATTTGTATGTGGGATGCCACCACAGCATGGCCTGATGAGGGCGTGTAGGTCCATGCCTGGGGTCCACACCTGCAAACCCCAGGCCTCCAAAGCACAGCATGGGAACTTAACCACTACGCCACGTGGCCAGCCCACTCTTCTCTGTACTCTTAATCAGTCCTCTAGTCCTCTGCCAGGATCAGCTTTACAGCTCAGTAATTGCCCTCTGCTGCTTAGCTTCTGTTTTCTTCCTCCCTGTTCTAATTGTCACGTTTTCCTGTGTCTGATATCTGCTGCCTGAAATTTGTCTTTGGCCTCCAGCATGAAACCTTGATTAGGGACTATTGATAATGGAGAGACAGCAGTGATTCTTTATATTAATGCTTTCTTGGTATCTTGCAGTGGAATTTAATTTTTTAATTCGTGGGACCAAGTAGAATTTTTCTCTGAGATCTGTGTTCAGCCCAGAGAATGCTTAAGGTCGGTTACCATAGCCAGGCTACCTCAGTTCCTTAGTGAGTCCCAGACTAACGGAGGAGTTTTTAAAAACCAGGTTCCTGCTCTCCTCCTCCTGCCTTCCCTTGTGATTCGTTAAGTCTGAGATGGGGCCTGGGAATATATCATAAAACACACCTAGGGGGTTCTGACTTCCTACCTAAGATTAAATGTAAACACTTGCATTTATTTCAATTCTTTTGATAATCTTAATTTTGACGTTGGATGGGATCAGAACCATCATCTGTGGTAATGGCTTACTTAAAAATAAACAGATTGGAGGTGGACGACCCCTAGGTGATTCTGTTGACTGACTAGGTTTGAGAACCACTGACTTAAATGTTTGTGTGTGTGTGTGTCTGTCTCTCCTGGGGGCCAGCAGATTTCCCCAGGAAATGTTTTGTCCACCCACTTTTTAGAATATAAAGAAGGGTCACATCAGAAAGCCTGTTACTTTCCCCTGTTTCTCACGTGAAACACTTTCTTCTGTGTCAAATTCCACAAATTTCCTTTTTGACCTGGTTGGCCACCTTATCGAGGAGTGGAAAGGGAATTAAGGGAATTTTCTTTCCCAGTCCTGATCTTCCTCTCTGTCTTACATATCGCTTTCATTGCACATCTACTTGATTTTTCTCTTATATGGTCAACTAGTCCAAATTTTGACCATTTAAACCAAGGTTTGGCAAACTTTTTCTGTAAAGAATCAGATCATATTTTAGATTTTGCCGGGCCGTATGGTCTCTGTCACAGTTACTCAGCTCTGCCACTGCAGCACAAGAGCAGCCATAGACAATATGTATTTATTGACACTGAAATTTGAGTTTAATCTAGTTTTTATATGTCACAAAATATTATTATTATTTTGATTTTTTTCAACTATTTAAAAAGGTAAAAATTATTCTTAGCTTGTGTACAAAAGGAAAACAGGCAGCAGGTTGGGTTTGGCCATAGTTTGCCAACTTCTGATTTAAACTAATCAAAACAGTCTTAAAACTAACTTATAGAACAAGTAACGAACATTGATTTTGTTTCAGAAACCAGGTTTGAGATTCCTTTAGAAATCAAACTCAATTTTACATGCAATTCAGTGAAATTATTTCTTTAGCATTCTTTTTTCTCATAAAGTGTTGTGGAACTCCAGTCTGTACTCCAAGCCTGCCTGCCTCATTATTCAAAACATATGTGCTCCATTTTTGCTTGAACTTCCTTCTTGATACACTTTTCATTTCTTTTAGATGTAGAGCATTTCATTTGGGAAGTTTATGTTCTTTTAATTGTTTTTGCTCCTGAAGCTGGTTCAAGTCTCTGCCACCCTGTTACCAAATAGGAGAAGGGCTGGGGAGAGGCTTCAGACCTAATTTCAGTCCTACTTCCCAGCCAAGATTATGGATGAGTAAAAATTCCATACTTTTTACTTACCTCTAACTGAAATTTAACTTTCTTTTCAATTATGAATATAGGCAACAAACAGCAGTAGTATCAACAAAAATCAGAAATATGTTTGTATCACAGGTGCTTCTACCTTTTTAAAAATTTTTTTGCTGAGGAAGACTGGCCCTGAGCTAATATCTGTGCCCATCTTCCTCTACTTTATGTTAGGATGCCTGCCACAGTGTGGCTTGACAAGTGGTGTGTAGGTCCACACCTGGGATCCGAACTGGCGAACCCCTGGCTGCTGAAGCAGAACGTGCGAACTTAACCACGGTGCCACTGGGCTGGCTCTGCCTCTATCTTTTATACTCACTACTTTGAAATTATAGTATTTATTAAACTTGATGCTCTATGTTATTTAATGCATTAATAAAGAAGTACATATTATATCACAAATTTATTTATTTATTTATTTGGTGAGGAGGATTTGCCCTGAGCTAACATCTGTGCCAGTCTTCCTCTATTTTGTACATGGGTTGCCAACACAGCATGGCTTGATAAGTGGTGTAGGTCCATACCCAGGATCTGAACCCACAAACCCAGGCTGAAGTGGAGCGTACCGAACTTAACCACTGTGTCACAGGGCCAGCCCCCACAAATTTATTTTTTAATAATTTATATTTTAATATAACTAGTTTTCTTTGTGATCCTGTGTATTTTATTTCATACATTTTTAGACATTATGAAGGAGTCTGTAAGGCTTTGTATTCTGCCAAGGGGTCTGCTGCACAAGAAAGGTTAAGAACCCCTGCCTAGGGCCTGATTCGTCCCTCCACCCCCTCCACTTTACTCTCCCCTCCTTTACCCTCTCCCCACAAATTTTCTCTCCCCTCCTGTTTTTGGGGTTTTTTTCCTCAAAGTCTAGATCCCTTCCTGATCCCTCATCCCCTAAGATAATTTATGCCCTAATGGATCACAGCCTGTAGTTTGTAGAACATTGAGTCACTGAATATAGGAATAATTCTGAATGGTAAAGTTCTATATATAACCTGTCGTGTTATTTTATAATTTCTCCTGGGCTGGCCCTGTACTCTTCATATGTATAAATTAGCATTTATGTTTGTGAAGGTGATTGATCGTATCAGGTGGTCCCAACCCATCTCCTCTTCAGGGAGACCCCATAGTGATAATTTATTGTGATCAGGTATATAAGCAAATAGCCCTAGTTTTTTAACAGAGATGGAGGAGGATAAATGTGTTCTCCTTCCCCCCATCTTACTCACTCTCCTCCCCATTCCACTACCCTCTCTCACTCTGTTCTGTACCTTTCACTGTTCTCTCCCTCCCCCTCATCGTTCTTATTCTCCCTCTCTGTTGTTCCTCCTCTTCCTTCTCTCTCTCTTTTTTTTGGTGAGGAAGATTAGCCCTGATCTAACATCTGTGCCAGTCTTCTATTTTGTATGTGGGACACCACCACAGCATGGCTGGTGAGTGGGGTAGGTCTGCGCCGAGTCTGAACCTGTAAACCCTGGGCCTCCAAAGCAGAACATGTGTGACTTTAACCCCTCGGCCAGGGGCTGGCCCCTGTCTCTCTCTCTCTCTCTCTCTTTTATTGTTAGCTTCTTGTCCAGTTTAATATTGAGAATGTTTTCACTTCTCCATGTGAA